AGAAGGGAGGGAGGGAGGGAAGAAGGGAGGAGGGAGGGAAGAAGGAGGGAGGGAGGAAGAAGGGAGGGAGGGAAGGAGGGAGGGACATTTCTCTGACACGCTTATATAAAATACTGTGATCTGGGGAGTAACTTCTACACACCAGACCACAAACACTCGTGGTCTGGGGGAGTAACTTCTACACAAATCCAGACCACAAACACTCGTGGTCTGGGAGTAACTCTACACACCAGACCACAAACACTCGTGGTCTGGGAGTAACTCTACACCCCAGACCACAAACACTCGTGGTCTGGGAGTAACTCTACACACCAGACCACAAACACTCGTGGTCTGGGAGTAACTTTACACACCAGACCACAAACACTCGTGGTCTGGGAGTAACTCTACACACCAGACCACAAACACTCGTGGTCTGGGAGTAACTCTACACACCAGACCACAAACACTCGTGGTCTGGGAGTAACTTTACACACCAGACCACAAACACTCGTGGTCTGGGAGTAACTCTACACACCAGACCACAAACACTCGTGGTCTGGGAGTAACTCTACACACCAGACCACAAACACTCGTGTTCTGGGAGTAACTCTACACACCAGACCACAACAACAACAAAACACAAGAGGAAAGATCTCAAGGGCTTCAGACACAAGCCAAAATGACCCCCATTAAACCGAGGATCTCAAAGAATTGTCTAAAGTGTTTTATTGTACCTGGGAGTGGTTGGGCCCTTGTGTGTGTGTGTGTGTGTGTGTGTGTGTGTGTGTGTGTGTGTGTGTGTGTGTGTGTGTGTGTGTGTGTGTGTGTTCTATAACTGGCCGTATTCTCAATTTTTTATCTTCATGTATCTGTTAAAAGCGTTCTATAGACAGACAGACAGACAGACAGAAGGAAAGACAGACAGACAGAAAGACAGACAGACAGACAGACAGAAGGAAAGACAGATAGACAGGATAGAAAGATAAATAAATATTGAGATAAACACGCATTCTTTCAAGACCAGAGAGAGAGAGAGAGAGAGAGAGAGAGAGAGAGAGAGAGAGAGAGAGAGAGAGAGAGAGAGAGAGAGAGTGACCCTCCCATTGAGGCCACCCAATAGGGGTTGATTCAATTAACTCTCACGATCTCTAGTGACTCCAACAACACAAGACAAGTGAATTAAATTGTCCTCCCAACAACAACAAATGTAATAAACAAGAGGAAAAGTAAACAAAGAAGGAATGAGTTGGACACCAGGACCTTGTTGCGTGGCGTGAGGACAACTTGGTGGGGGGGCGGAGGACAACTGAGGGGCGGAGGACAACTGGGGGGGCGTGGAGGACAACTGGGGGTGGGAGGACAACTTGGGGGCGTGGAGGACAACTTGGGGGTGGAGGACAATTGGGGGCGGAGGACAACTGGGGGGCGCAGGACAACTGGGGGAAGGCGGAGGACAACTGGGGGTGAGGACAACTGGGGGTGGAGGACAACTTGGGGGGTGGAGGACAACTTGGGGCGTGAGGACAATTGGGGGCGTGTGAGGACAACTTGGGGGCGGAGACACTGAGGGGGCGTGAGGACAACTGGGGCGGGAGGACAATTGGGGGCGGAAGACAACTGTGGGGTGGAGGACAACTGAGGGTGTGAGGACAATTGGGGCGGAGACAACTTGGGGCGTGAGGACAACTTGGGGGCGTGGAGGACAACTTGGGGGCGTGGAGGACAACTGAGGGGGCGTGAGGACAACTGGGGGCGGAGGACAACTGGGGCGGAGGACAACTTGGGGCGTGAGGACAACTGGGGGCGTGAGGACAACTTGGGGGCGTGAGGACAATTGGGGGCGGGACAACTGGGGGGGAGGAAACTGGGGGCGTGAAGACAACTGGCGAGACAACTGAGGGCGTGAAGCTACCGACTAACCTAACCTAACCTAACCTAACCTAACCTATCCCTACCATTATCAAGAACTACATCTCACCCAAATAAAGCTATGCCTAACCTGACTTAATAGTTAACCTAACCTAATCAAAGTACTCTAACCAAACCAAACAACTAAACCAAACCAAACCTAACCATCAAGTAATTTAACCAAACCTAAACTAACCAAATAACCAAACCTAAGCTAAGCTAATCAAAGTAATCTAACCAAACCTAAACTAACCAAACTAAAACCAAACCCAACCTAACCTAGTCTAATCAAATCTAAACTATCCAATGGGTCAAGCTGGGATTCCTTCATTGGTTCAAGCTGGGAGTTCTTTACTGATTCAAGCTGGGAGTCCTCCACTGATTCAAGCTGGGAGTCCTTCACTGAATCAAACTGAAAGTCCTTCACCGATTCAAACTGGGTGTCCTTCACTGATTCAAGCTGGGAGTCCTTCACTGAATCAAACTGAAAGTCCTTCATCGATTCAAGCTGGGTGTCCTTCACTGATTCAAGCTGGGAGTTCTTTACTAATTCAAGCTGGGAGTCCTTCACTGAATCAAGCTGAAAGTCCTTCACTAAGCTGAGGGACATGTTTGGATCTCTGAGCTAATGAGTTTTCCTTATCAGTATATAATAGAGTTGTCTCCCACCACACGAGAGAGAGAAAGGGTGTGTCTCTCTCTCTCTCTCTCTCTCTCTCTCTCTCTCTCTCACCACGAAGGACTGTCTCTATCTCTGCGTATTACTATAAAGAGGATCTGTCTATCTCTCTATCTCCAAGTATTATAAGGAAGAATTGTCTCTCTATCTCTCAGGTACCACGGAAGACTGTCTCTCTATCTCTCAGGTACCACGGAAGACTGTCTCTCTATCTCTCAGGTACCACGAAAGACTGTCTCTCTATCTCTCACTCACTATAAAGTAGGATTTTCTCGCACTGTAAGGGAGGACTGTCGCCTACTGTCTCTCACTGTCTCTCACTGTCTCCTACTGTCTCTCACTGTCTCTCCCACAATATCGCTGCGGAGGGAAGTAATGATGAAGGAAATTGGATTTTCAGTGGACCAAAAACAGCTGTGAGAGCCAACACTGACCGAGGAGGAGGAGGAGGAGGAGGGAAGAGAGAGGAGGGGAGGGAGAAGAGGAGGAGGAGGAGGAGGAGGAGGAAGAAGGAGGAGGAGGAGGAAGAGGAGGAGGAGGAGGAGGATGAGAAAGGAGAGGAGGAGGAGGAAGAGGAGGGAGGAGGAGGGGAAGAGGAGGAGGAGGAAGGGAGAAGAGGAGGAGGAGGAGGAGGAGGAGGAGGAGGAGGGAGGAGAAAGAAGGAGGAAGAGGTAAGCAATTATATGAGGAATAACATTTAAAAACTTTTTCTGAGTAAAAAAAAATAAAAAAAATACCTCACGCCGAGATATAAAGAAAATAAGAGATAATAACGTAGAGACAACAGAGATAGAGATAATGAGAGAGATGTTAACATAGAGACGATAAATAATGAATCAACATGAGAATAATATCAACCCAACCTAACCTAACCTAACCTAACCTAACCTATTTCAAGTACTGTAAAAACCAACTCACTTACCACAAAGACACACCTGTATAATCACCACTAATGACTAATTAACACCTGACACGTAATTGAGATGCCAGATACCCCATTAACCAGCTGTTAGGGTGATTGCATTGGCTTTAATCATCTTAAGTGAACCGTTATGGGGAAAAAAGTCATCGGGGAAAATAGTCATTGGGGGAAAAAAGTCACAGCCGCGGAATTTATATATAAGAGTTTTGAATGGTTCTATACAGGTAAATATGTCCTCCATTACAGCTTGAAAACCCATTACGTGTTTTGTTATGGAGTGTAATTGCTTTTGGATATTGCCCTGGTGAGACAATTGACTGGTAGGGTGGGTGTGGGTAGAGATTGGAGTGTGGAGTAAGAGCTGGGTGTGGGTAGGGCTGGGTGTGGTGGGAGTGGGGTGTGGGTGGGGCTGGTGTGGGTGGGGTGGGTGTGGAGTGGGGCTGGGTGTGGGTGGGGTGGGTGTGGGTGGGGTGTGTGGTGTGGGGTGGGGTGGGTGTGTGGGGTGGAGTGGGGGTGGGTGTGTGGGGTGGGGTGGGTGTGTGGGGTGGGGTGGGTGTGTGGGGTAGGGTGGGTGTGTGGGGTAGGGTTGGGTGTGGGTAGAGAGGGTGTGGGTAGGCTGGGTGTGGGTAGGGCTGGGTGTGGGTAGGGCTGGGTGTGGGTAGGGCTGGGTGTGGGTAAGGTGGGTGTGTGGGGTGGGTGTGTGGGTTGGGTGTAGGTGTTTTTAAGTTAAGCACAGTTTGAGTAATTAAAAAATCAAATTCACACACACACACACACACACACACACACACACACACACAGGCCAAAGTTAAAGCAAGCAACCCAGGTGAAGTTTACCCACCTATTATGACCGAACAAGACCCGGAGTTAGTTAAGACGTGTTTACCTGAGCCGAGAAAACAAGAAGAGAGTAAAAGTGACCCCCAGTTTTACACACTAAGGAAAGACTTCTCCCTTATTATTTTTCCTTAACAGTTGATTGATTAATGTTTGAATTTATGCGTTTAAAAACCTCATTAATTCAAGTTCAGTGAAGGAAAAAAAATACGAGTTGAGGGATAATATAATGTGACCTCTAGCGGGAATTAGCTCAGTTATACGTATGTTATGACCGTTTCTGCATATCTTAGGTCTATAGTCTTAAAGAAGTGATTACAAGACAAGTTAGGAGAGAGATCTTTATTACTGACCTGATATAAGTTGTCTGGTGTGTGGGGGATCTTACTGCCCGCTGGAAAAAGAAACGTGAAATTAATGTGTTTATTTTGTAATATTTTAGTAAGAAGAAATTATTTTCATTATTATTATTATTATTTTTTATTATTATTATTATTACCCATATTATTATTATTATTATTATTATTATTATTATTATTATTAATGAAAGTAATATCCAAAACAAAAATAATATTTCTTTATAAATTAAAACATTAAAATATGAATACATAAAATATAGCAAAGATGTTTATGTATAACAGCCATAAAACATAGTGAAGTTGTTTAAGTTAGTTGTTTATTAACGTCTAATTCTCTTCCCTGACTCCGGTCTTTGAATACCATAAACAAAGTCAACGAAAAACATTACCTCTATATAACGGACTATGGGAGAGTGTATTCCGTTATATCGAAGTTCTTTATATTTGAAACATCCATATAATTGATTATTTGGGAGAGTATTGTCCATTATATCGAGGTCTATTATATGTAAAAACCTCCATCTAACGAACTATATAGACATGAAAGTCCGTTATAGAGAGGGTCCGCTAGATATGACCCCCCAATCTTACGGATTATATGCAGAGAAAAAAAATAATTCAGGCATAAAATTACTAATAGAACTTAAAAACTGGTGACAATACTTAATATAAAACTGAAAAAAAAAGACTACAACGAAAATGAAACAAATAAAATAAAATACCCATAAAAATAATACCATAGGTGACAATACTTACTGTAAAACACAACCTAAAAAATAAGAATACTACGAAAATACAAAAAAAAACTCCAACGAAAAAAAAAGAAAAAATGTTACAACGAAAATACAAAAAAATACGACGAAAATAAAAAAACTAACGAAATTTTTTTTTATATAATATTAACAAGGAGAATAAGAATATTACTGTAGTGAATAATTAAAACACGGGATTATTAATAAGACTCAAATAGACTCTTCTATCTCACCACCAACTCATTATGTTTAAAAATATGAATAATTTAAATGCATTCTGACGAGACTCCGGCCTCTGGGTGTTCCTTCAGTGTATAATTTATGTGGAGTTTTGTTCACTGTTTGTTCACTTGTGAGAGTTTTACAGTGAAATGGACGGATGGACTGAGATAGATAGATAAAAACATATATAAAGATAGATAGATAGATAGATAGATAGATAGAAAAATAGAGAGATAGATAGATATTCGGGAAGAACGGCATCTAGCGCCAGTACGAGCGCTCACCATCGCCTACCGTTAAATTTCTTGGCTAACAATGAGAGATTCTTGAACGATACACCGAGCAAACGTTCGCCCACCTTCTGCCTACAGTGGCGCTTGCGGCGGCGGAGAGAGAGTGGAGTGTCGGAGGCCCTGATTTAACGGACTACCCACTAACATAATTCCATAAAGTCCGTTATTTGGAGGTTTCAATTTAACGGACTACCCACTCCCATAATTCCATAAAGTCCGTTAATTGGAGGTTTCACATTTAACAAATCTTGATATAACGGAACACATTCCTGCATAAATTCCGTTATTTGGAGGTTCCACATTTAACGAACCATGATATAACGGACTACCCTCTCCCATACAATCCGTTATTGAGAGGTTTCACCGAATACACCTCATATTTCCTCTCCTAACAGCCTCTTCTCCCATAACAACAACGCATAAACCCACAAATTAAACCACAAATAAAAGATCAAATACATTAATACTCTATAAAACAAAATAAACCCATTATATACGACTATCAAACACCACATACATCAAAAACTAATAAAATTTACTATATCACTGTATAAAATATTTTCCCTCGGCTATAACAATTTTGAGTGTGGTACGAGTGTATATATTTTTAGCTTCCCATTACGCGCATAACATGTAAATCCTGTTCATAAATACTATACACACGAATGCCCGTTTAGAGAAGGATACGGGGAACTATATACAGTGTTGTGTATTGTGTATCTAAGGGAGGTATTCTGTCTAGTATTGTAATGTATAGCTTTTCATTTCCCCCTCAATTTTAAAGTCAGGTGTCTCTTTGTATAGCTGGGGAAGAGAGGGGGGAGGGGAGGGGAGGGGGGAAGGTGTTACTGGTAATATGCCTTTGGGTTGAAACGTGGAACTTTAGGCTAAGAGATGGGCGTTGTGTTTATTTATATGACATAACACGACAGCACCACACAGCATAATAGTACCACACATAGCAACACAACACAACAGCACCACCACAACACAGCACAATACAACAGCACCACCACAGCACAGCACAATACAGTAGCACCACACATAACACAACACATAGCACAGCACAACAGCACCACACAATAATACAGCATAACAGCACCACCAGGCCCCAACAAAGTCTTCACCAGCTCTTGTAAAGCAGTGTGGCTGAACATGGTCGACCCTATCAGATGTTACCAAACTCCCTCCCACACACACCCGTCCCTCCCACACACACACACCCGTCCCTCCCACACACACACACCCGTCCCTCCCACACACACACACACACACACACCGTCCCTCCCACACACACACACACACACCCGTCCCACACACACACACAAACTGTCCCTCCTCCTCATATACCCTCCCTCCCCTACCCCACTCCGTCCCTCTCTCCCTCCCACACACACCCGTCCCTCCCACACACACCTGTCCCTCCACACACACACACACACACACGTCCCTCTCTCCCCACACACACACACCCACCCGTCCCGTTCCCAGATCACCACCTCGTCTATTTCTCAACGCGACAATATCTGCCATCAGGAGTCCCCCA